CACTGAGTAGGACAGCGTGTTGGGCAGTGGGGTTTGGGGCAAAAGGAGCTGGTTTAGGGACGCTTCGGGCAGGACGGAGCTGGGATGGGGATGGGAGGCACTGGAAGACTCCTCACACCCTCCCAGGTGCTGGTTGTCCTGCAGAAGGACGTGGGTTTGGAGGCAAGGCCACGTTGCTGCCAGGCTGCCCAAAGGTGGGGGGTGTATTCCAGTGCCTCCAGCACCGGGCAGAGCCGATGGTCCCCAAACCCACCTGCTTGTCCCCAAAGGACGGGGAATGGTGGCGTGAGCGATGCTGGCCAGCACCCCAGTGGTCACCAGATCTGGCTCCTTCTTTCCCCGCAGATGGTTTCCAAGCTGCCCTTGATGAAGACCATTTGTAACCTGCACCTGGACAAGCTGGAATTTTTCCGCCTCCTGCACCCAGAGACCGCCATGAACTTCCCACCCCTCTATAAGGAGGTTTTCAACTCGGAGCTTCAGTACAGCGACCCACGGGAGAGCTAAGGCTGGGAGCCGCCGACCACCTTCGAGTTCCCCAAAATTTGGAGATGAACTAAACTTCAGAGGTTTGGGGCAGTTTAAATCAAATAATCAAACTCAAGAGAACCTGAGGGGCCGGGGCCCCTCCCGAGCCCCGTTTCCTCGCTGTGGATTGCAATAGCTCTTGAATGTAAAGCACCTTGAAGGAAAAAGCAAACGGACTTTGCCATACCAGTGAAATGAATGTGAAATCTCCGCTCGGGAGAGGAGATGCTCCTGGCAGCGGTGAGGGACCGACTCCTCCCCGCAGTGCACGGATCCAGGGGAGCACACGCCACGCACACGCCGCCGCGCTCGCGGCACGGCCCTTCCCACCGTCCTGGCTGCACTCTCCATCTCTGATTTTTCATTTTATTTTTTTTTTAATTATTATTTTTATTTTATTTTTTTTTACCCAAACACAAGGCATGGGATAAAAAAGGGGTAACGCAGACTCAGCCACATAGGGGATGAGCCAGGCTAGGTGGGGCAGCTGTGAGCTCCTGGCTGGAGCCAAGGAGAGGGCGAAGGCAGAGCCTTTGCTTTATTTCTTCTCCCTTGGGGCACAGGGTGACCTCAGGAGCTCGGCCAAGAAAGACCCAGCTGTGGCCAGGGGATAATTCAGCACAGGATTTCCCCGTGGAGGAGGCTGGTTTGAGGGAAAGGATGCCCAACGCGGCGGGGGAGAAGCTTTGCAGGGTCTCTGTGCCCACCCTCGCGACATTTTCCCAAACGCCCGGCCAACTCCCCGGCCGGCTGGCCACCCGCCTGGCTTTTTGGGGCCAATTCGGCAGGTTCGCCCACCTCGTGCCACCTTACCGCATCCCGAGGGCTTTTTGAAGAGGGGCTTTTCCCGTGTGACCGTGGCCAAATCCCTGCTCCCAGCTGCTGCGCCCCAGAGGCACCCGCAGGGCGCTGGGCTTCGGTGCCTGTCCCCGTGCGTCGGGGCAGGCGGTTTTTTTTTGTGCTGGCTGCCACGCGTAGACTTCTTATCGAGACCATTAAAGCTGTCCCGTGGCTCAGCACCCTGAGGAGGTGTCGTGGCCTTTCCTCTGCCCAGCCCGCAGCCAGTCCCGCGGCCGGATGCCCCTTTCCCACACCGAGACCACTCTGCTATTGCAGATTGAATTTGACGCAGGCTTTTCCCCCCAAGGAGCTCCTTAGAACTGTTATTTTGGGATTTGTTCTCTATTTAGCAAGAGCTGGGGACTTCATAGGGGAGAAACTGCCCTTTGGGGTCAAGGGGAAGTGAAAGGTCCTTATTCCTTCCCCGGGAAGTCATGGCACGGTCAGGACCTGCAGCTCTGTGCTTGGGAGGCTCCATCGGCAAAGAAGGGATGGATCCATGGCGTGATGCCTGCAGCCATCGGCACCGCTCAAGGGACACTCTGGCCAGGCTCTGCAGATGGTTTTTTCCGTCCCTATTCCTGCTCCTCCTGCAGCAAATGCCAAAAGCTACAAGGGAAAAACCTGCTCGGAGGCAGCCCCAGTTTCTGCTGACAAAGGGCTAAAATCCCAAGCCCCTTCCCACTTCGTGTTGATTTCTGGTGTGCCCAATCCCATCCTCTGGCAGCTCGGATCATCCCGGAGCGTAAGCCGAAGACCTTCAATCCCATAATTGCACCCCTTAAACTAAACAAGCAGCTTTCTTAGTGATGGTAGGGGATATTCACGCTTCCGGTTAAAAGACCTCCTAGGGAAGACCATGGACCAACCTCGACCAGAGAAGACTCACCAGGAAACCGATGGGATTTCTGCTTCAGTGTCAGGCAGAGGAAAACTCGGAGCGTGCCATTCCCCGGCAGCCGCCGTCCGCGCCTGCAGCTCCGCGCTTCCCGGTTTCGCTGAGCGCCGTCTGAGCTGCTTGCTGGAGCGTGTCGGAGTTGGTCAGCCTTGTTCCTCTCCCGGGTGGCGTTGGAGCCCGGGTCTCCGGTGAAGGCTGCCGCCCCTTCCCCGCGGCCCCACGCGATGTTGAGTGCCAATGCGTCGTTCTCCAGCGCAGCGTTCGCCGGGGCGGGGGATGCACCGTGCTTCTTTCCTGCCCTCTCAGATCCTAGAGCTTTGACAGAAGTGTGAAGTCAGTACTGCCTTTTTCGTCTAGAGGGTTGTGCCTTTTTTTTTTTGTTTTTGAAGAATCTTTTCTGACAGCACCGTTCGCTTCCCGGCTCCTCTCTGCGGGAAATGAGGAAACGAACGTGCGTTGCGGAGGGGGCTCTCGCCCTCCGTTTCTGCAGGACAGCAGCACTCCCTTTCTCGGAGGAAACACCCACGAGTGTTTTGAAATGTTTGGGGGGAAAAAAGAAAAGCACACACCCTTCTCTACGTCCTCGGTATTCATGGGCCAACGTGCACCAACGGTCAGCGTCACCGTTCTCATTTCATCTGGCAAAGACACCAAGAAAGCACCTTAAATCGGGAAAAGACTGAGCCCTCGCCACTGGTTGCGTGTTTCTGGCTTACGACACCGCGTCCTTCTCACGGGAGAGGTTTTGGATTCTGAGCAATAAAAGCCTCCGTGGGAATCTAGGGAAGACTGGAAGTATTAAACCCGTGTAACTCAACCTGCCAAACTGCGGGAACCTGCACTTTTAAGTTCTCTTTAAAGGAACCAACTTGTCGATTAAATGATTTCTTGGGAGGGGATAAATGATTAAATGTTGATTAAGTGATTTCCTGCTTGGGACGGGCGGCATCGGAAGGGATAGCAAGGGCGCACCGAACGCCCCGTGGCGCCTCGGCCGGCTGTGGCCTCTGCTTCTGCTCGCTGAATCCGCGGGGCCGCGGTGGCTGTGCCAAGGTCCCTCTGTGCCACCCAGGGACAGCGGCTCGGCAGAGCCAGGCGCCGAGCTTTTAGGGAATGGGCGAATGGAAAATGGGTAGAAATGCCTGAAAAAGGGAGATTTCCGCTCTCCCCTGCGCCAGAGCTGCGTGTGGCCAGCGGAGATGGCGCACGGGAACCCCGAGACCCTGGACTCGCTTTGATGCTCTGTCCTCGGCGTCTCGGAGCCGTTTCCATCCCACCGGCCACGAGACGTTTTGCCGCTTTGTTTTCAAACGGACCTCGGCAACAGTTCCCTTGAGCAGGGCGACCTCAGCCGCGAGGGATTGCTCTTTTCCGGATGAAGATTAATTTTGTGTTTGTTTGTTTGCTCTGGCAGTTTAGCTGAGTGTGCATTTCCACCTCCAGAACCCTCACACTGTGTATAAAAATGGATAAAATATATATATAATATATATTCTTGTGAATGTTGGTGCAAAAGAGAAAAATATATAAAGTTTCAGTCGGTTTTATGTTATTTTTTATCTATATGAATGAAAGGAAGAAATGGAAAACATTTTTTTTCCATTTACCACCCTCCACACACACCTACCTGTAGATACCGACAGGTTTTACGGAAATGTTTTACTTTTTAGAATTAGGAACATGCTTCTGTTCTCATTGAATGTTCTGTCTTGTAAGATTGTAATTTCTATTTTTTTAAAGAAAAGAAAATAACTAAATAAAATTTCCTCTTTCGGACCAGTCAGCTAGGAAGGGAGGGCAGGGGAGGGAGAAATGTTTATTTAAGGACAAAAGCGTTGTCTGAATTTTTCATGACATTAAATAAAAAGTAATATAATATATGGACAAAAAACTTTTTATTGAGGTGTATTCTATAGGTGTATAGATATATATTGCACAAAATTTATAGGAAGAAAAAGAAAGTCTGGTTTCCAACATAAAAAAATAATAATTTTAGCAAAGGGTGAGACTGGAAGCAAAACCCTCAAGGTCACGGAAAAGCCTTTCATTTCTTCCACGGGCTCAGGACCAAGCTGTACTAGAAGCCCCGAGCCAGTGCAGGATTGGGACACAAAGCTGGATTTGCAATGTCATAAGGTTTTCTTGGGTCACTTAAAGCCAGGCACACACTGGGGAGGATCCTGAGATCTGGGAAGGGGCTTCATCTGGGAAACCTGTTCAAGCCCCACCAGGCTGAGGACAGTGACTGCACGTGGGGACGCGTTTCAGGGCAGGGGGTGGGTGGATTCGTTTTCAAACAGCACCCAGTCCTAGGAGGGAGGGAAGGAAGATACATGCCTTGGATGCAAGGACTCCTCTCCGTTAGGATGCAGGTGGCTCAAAAGCATCACTGGGTATCAAGTGTGCAAATCGTTCTCATTTGCTTCCCCTGAAAATCTCCCATGGGTGCACGCTCCCTGCTCCCGGTGCGAACACACAGCGGTTGTGTCCCCCGGCAGCAGCAGCTGAACTGGCTGGGAGCTGTGGAGCAGAGCAAAATAATGAAAAAGGATCTTTGTATCAGCAGGGTCAATAAATTCCAGGGTTTCACCCCCCCAGCTGCCCAGCCACTACTGCTCTGCCATTCCCAGGAGGCAGCACGCGTCCTCCTTCGCGGATCCCACCCGCAGAGTTTATATATTGCAGGATAAAACCTGGCTGCTACCGAGAGCCTGGAATAGCCAGAAACAGGCATGGGTTATCATCTGGGTGGGATAAGGAGGGAGCGGAGCTGAGGTGGCCGGGACTGGGGGGAACCGCTGTGTCCAGTGCGGGATCACGCAGGGACGAGCCGGAGCTGTGGCAGCGATGCAGGTGTAGCAGCCCACGGCCCTGCCAAGCTGTCGCATGCTGGTATGTTTAGTTGGTTTTCCCTTTTTTTTTTTTTTTAAGATGTCTTTTTCTCCATTATCACTTGTAATGTAATGTGGGTTTGAATGGTCTTAAAGTGCTGTCTTTTGCTTTACTCCACATTAGCCGAACTCATACGATGTTATAAATGCTACT